ACACGTACACGCGTACTCCCAGATGTCCTCTGGCCTGCCTGCCGAGGGGAGGAGGGCCAAGCAGAATCCCCCGTTGAGGCAGGGTCTGCCTTCGCAGGGGTCCGGACGAGGTGTCGCCTGGGTCGGGGTGGGCTCGGCCGGTGCCGGGGTGTCCGGGGCCAGCTGGAACGGAGAGGGGACGGCCCCGATGCTGCTGCTGTTGCTGCCGCTGGTCAGGAGCAGGACGGTGAGAAGCAGGGGGGACGTGAAGCTCCCTGCGTTCTTTGTGGGACGGCAACAAGGAACTGCCGGCACACTGAACACACTCATCCTCATCTTGATCCTCTTAGTCTGGTTTTCTTTTCTTTTCTTTGTTTAGGGGGGGGGGGGGGGGCGGGGGAAAAGGTTGTGTGTTTCTTTTGCGTCTTTGCTCAGAGCTGCTGCTCCTGTTGACCGGGCTCAGCAGCAACTGAGAGGTATATGAGAAATGTGTGTGTGGTGTGTGTGAAAGGAGGAGAGAGCGAGAGAGGGGCGGAGGAGGAGGCAGGCTGGTTGGATGCTGAGGCTCAGCTGTGCGCGGGTAGAATGACTGAGAGGAGACTGGCTGATGGAGAGAAGGTAGGGATGCGAGAGGAGAAGGGGAGGGCTCTCTGCTTCTTTCTGCCTCCGAGTCACAGTGACGATGATTGCTGACGACACTCTCTCTCTCACACACACACACCATCCTCCGCTACCCCCTCCTCATCATCATCATCACCAACTTCATGCACACTCCCTCTCCTGGCTTGCCTTCACTGTGCAGAAAAACAGTGAAGAGGAGCACTGCACCTTCCTCATTTAGAGTCTCATCATCCATATCCTCTTCTTGGAGTTTGGCCTCCAAGGAGGCAGGGAGGAGGGAAAGCAGAGAAGGAGGGGTTGGTGAGAAAACTCATCAGCTTTGCCAAAAGATTGGCTGCTTTCGAGTGATAACAGGCGGCATTACCATAAGGGAGATAATGCACTCTGGGCTTGAATACTGCAAAATCATGCTGATCGAGTTTGGCTGGCATGCTCCGAAAACTTAATCCATAAAGTTCTGTAACAAAAAAGTGTGCATAGATAAAACTGAAAGTAAGGGTTATTTAGGCCTCCCAAATCACAACAGCACAGACATGTTTAGAGTTGTTTTAAAATGAGTTCAAATCCCTTGCTTTTTAGCTTTAAGAGCATCAGTGAACTGTGCCAAGAAATGTGTTTAAAATGTTGCCATCAGTTCTCTTTTGGGGTAGATTTTACTTTGAGCAGACATGGTTTTTAATATGATGCAGTTCTTTGTTGTTCAAAATCCTGCAGTAGGTGATTACAGTTGATCATGTTCATGTAGCGGTCGATGTCAAAGCCAATATATTGATTACAGGAAGTATGACAACCTGACAGCTGTGGACATAACGAAAAGACAGACATAGACTGTAAATAAAAAACGGACAGCACCTCAATGACATCACAGTCCAGCTGTTTCCATCTCTTTGAAGACAGATCAGCAGGTCTCACCGAGACCATTCGTTTCACTTTCAATTAAATTATAAATCGCAGAATCTGAAGCACCTTTAAAAATAAGACTTCAAACGTAAACTCGAAAAAAGGAAAAGTTTACTGAGGTCATAAATCACGTGGAAGCGAGGCGGTCTTCAATTCAATTCAGTGTCCCGAATACCTCTCAATTCGCTCAGGTCCAGTCAAGGTTTACAGGACATGGGGAGCTGCAGTCTCTTAAGAGGCCACAATAAGAGACTGCAGTCTTCAGAGACAATAGCTGACTGCGACCACAAGATGGCAATAATCTACAGGATGGACGCTGCGTGCTTAGAGTTAGTGTGCTGTTAGAAGATGAACGTTTGCCCCAGTCCAGAGGTCGAGAGCGCTCAAGGTTATCATCAAGGATGTCTCTGTATAATATTGCATTCATCCTTCCCTCGACCCAGTCTAGTCTCTCGGTTTCTCTGCCATCACCATGCCACACTGTAGGGATGGTAATGGTCAGGTGATGATTGGTGCCTGGTTTCCTCCAGACCTGACGCTTGGCATTCACGCTAAAGAGTTGTTGTTTCTAATGGTCTGAGAGTCCTTCAGGTACCTTTTGGTAAACTCCCTGCAGGCTGCCATGTGGCGGCTTCTGTTTGAAGAGTCCTGGTGGTTACAGAAACTTTAATTTATGGATGATGTTGCCACCGTGCTTATCGGCACCTTCAGTGGTGCAAAAACTTTTCTGTACTCTTCCCCAGATCTGTGCCTCGGCACAATCCTGTCTCTGAGGTTTACACACAATTCATTGGTGCTCTTGTGCTCTTATGGGGATGCTCCAGAGATCCATTTTGAGTGTCGTGACAAAGGCTGTGAATACTTATGTACATGTTATATATTTTTATAAATTTGCAAGAATGTTAAGCAAACGTCTTTCTACTTTGTTATTACGTGTCAAAGTTTGAAGTGAAAAACAAGTTTCATCTATTTTGGAATAACATGACAGAATATGGAACAAATGAAGCATTGATGCACTGTACATCCAAAACTTTAGTATGAGGAACAAGAGATCGATACCTGCCTTTATCATGTACTCAAACTCTAGACCTTACCAGTGGTGGGCAACTCCAGGCCTCGAGGGCCGGTGTCCCTGCAGGTTTTAGATGTGTCCTTGAACCAACACAGCTGATCTAAATGGCTAAATTAGCTCATCAACATGCCCTGAAGTTCTCCAGAGGCCTGGTAACGAACTAATCATGTGATTCAGGTGTGTTGACCCAAGGTGAGATCTAAAAACCTGAAGGACACCGGCCCTTGGGGCCTGGAATTGCCCACCCCTGCAACTATACTGGCAACTCAAGTCAGGCTTTGAAAGAGACAAATATCCTAAGTGTCAGGGTTACCTTTGAATTTGAGCAGATCTTTTATTTATTACAAATATAATTTTTTTTTAGTCATCAAAACTAATAACATGGAAAGTGTAATTCAGGAGAAATATTAAAGCACACATCCGTTTCCTATGCCGTGAAATCAAAAGTTGTAACAGTCCTTGACCTTGTCCATAATGTAAGATTGATGCCGTCAGTCATTTAAAACAGCTGCAGGTTGTTGCAGCATGCTCAATGTGATCAATACAAAACCTTTCTGCTGTCTATGTCATCCTGGCCTCAACCTTCCCCATTTCCATAATGAATGTCCACTGGTGCCACTTGGTGCAGTGTGAGGTGAACATTTTCACCTCACACTGCACCAAGTGGCTCTGAACACTGGCATCGCTGCAGGCACAGCTCGTGAAGAGAGGTTGACGTTTAAACATCAGTCCACGGAGATGTTTGTCAGATGAAACCAACATGTTTTGTTTTTACATTTTTAATCAATGAAACCATTTTCTACAAACAGACGTCCAAAATGGAAAATGGCTTTGTGTTCCAAACACACCTTATGCGACGTTAAATCTAAAGCTAAGCTCTTTTGTTGTCAAACCATGCCCAACAGGCGACCTGTAAATGGTTACCGTCTCCACAGCAAATCATTTCCACCAGGAAACCGTGGAGTCCTGTGATCCAGAATGACAGGTGTTGAAAAACATTGAGCTTTGGGGGAACCTCTGAAAACTGTTCAAGAACTATGAAATAACCCAACTGGTTCCAACATGCCAAAGCAATGGCAAAGAGCATTAGTCAAACAGTAATATGAGTCAAACAGTTACTTTATTTATGTTCAGGTAAAAACATGAACCTGATGCAGTAAATTATTGCAGATCTTAGAAACCAGCACATGAACGTTGGGGCCAGGAGAGCATACAGTGGCGCCCTCCCCTGGCAACAGACTGCAGGTGCACACCACAGTTTGTTCCAAGCCAGCAGTGCAAAGAAAAAACCAAAAAAAAAAAAAAAAAAAACCACTACAGCAAGAAATAAAGACAATATAGAAAATTAAAAAAAAAGAAAAAAAAAAAGAGGTAAAGCAGACATTCCCACTTCAAACGGGGTGTGAAACTGCATATATATTTTATTCCAGAAAATGAACTTGAAATGCTAATCTGGCTATGAAACGATAAAAATGAGACCAGCCAAACTTTGTGCCCAGCTACATTATGTGTTGAGGGTTGCTCAGAGCTTGGTCTACCAAGATAACCCTACGCGTCCGGTAGGATCCAACAGAAAGACACCAACTCTATTAAAATAAGAGCAAAAAAAATTTACCTGGTCAACACATTAGTTACAACTCTTCATTTGAGCTGAAGCTCTCGGAAATGAGGCCAGAACACAATCTCAGAAGGAGCAGAGGGAGAGAGAGCGAGAGGGAGAGAAAAAAAAAAAAAAAAAAAAAAAGATAATATGAGCTCATCACTACCCGCATTCAACCAACTGCAACTTTCATTTCCACAACTTGAAGCAAAGACACACTGGGGGGAGGGGGAAGCCGAACCAAATCAAAATAAAAAAAATTATAATAACAATGCAACACACGAACTGGGGGCGAATATAATACAGAACAGAACGCGAACAGTCGAACTGAGGGGGAGACGTGAAAACAAAGAGCTATTCTATCAAATGTGTAGAATGAGCAAAGTCTGCAAATTTGTCTGTACAAATGATCTTTGGAGCTAAAGTAAACCTAGCTTGCTCAATGGAACCCGCCCTCCCCGCTCCCCTTCCTCCCCCGTCACCCAGTGATGCTGTCCACCACTCTGGAGAGGAGACATCCCTTTTTTTTTTTGTCTTTTTTGTCTTGTTTAAATATCACATAGCAATTTAAAATGTCACCCAGATGTTTTCATCTTTTTTAACATTACTCAACTACTGATATAAGATTTTACTCTCTTTATATTTTAAGTTCTGCGTCATGGAACACCCTTCCATTTTTCTTTTTTTTTTTCCCTCCTTTTTTTGAGAGACGGGGGCAGCAAATATATATTTAGAGTCTTAATTTTTCTGCAAGCTGCTTTCTCTAACAAGAAGGCTGTACATGTAGCCTTAATGTGTGTGATTACAAAAAAACTAAGGAGGAAGTCATGATTTCATCGGCTGCTGTAGAAGGCATTTTAATGTTGAGATGTGGCGAGATCAGGAAAGGTGGAAAGACTGCTGGCCCTCGCGAGCCGCAATCAACAGTTTCTCTCGCATGATCTCTATGCTGGAGTAGTCAGGCAGCTTCAGGTAGTTGACGCAGGTCATGACTGAGGGGAGGAAGTCGTCTGGATTCTCCGTCGACTCAAACGTCTTCCTCACAATTGTCAGAGGTGGGTTCAGGCTCCGGAAACCTGCCGTGCAAGGGCAACAGCGGGTGAGCGCGGGGCAGACTTGCAGTACAAACACATCCGAGTTTATTTGATTAAGAGTCACATGTCAGGCTCATTAAATTGTGTGCGTGTGTGTATGATGCGCCTCACCTCCGACAGGCAGTCTTGGGCTTCCTGTGACAAACTGCAGAAAGAGTCTTTGCTGTTCGGCATCGAAGCTGCTCAACACCTCAAACAGGAATCGAACTGCACGGCTGCAAAAACGGGATGAAATGGTTGAGAAAAGTTACTGTGTTACTAAAATGATCAAAAATACTCCTCTGCTTTGCAATGATGGTAAAACTGGTGCTACTAGCTGACTGCACTGTGGGTTCTGTTTACTAGAAACGAGAGTCACGATATTTCCAATAAGAGCCAGGAATGTGGAATTGATCATGCTTTGCCACCATCAGCCAAATTCTTCGCATAAATACTGAAGAACGCTGAGATTTACAACGATCTAAAACTTAAGAGCCACAGACTGTCTCACCTGTCATGTGTGTATCCGTGATCCGGTCGACAACACTCCATCAGCGTCTTGACATCCCATGTCTCCGATTTACTGCCACACAGCAACTGGTCAAGCTAAATGTTAAAGTGAGAACGGAATGAGAAAATCCAAACTATGAGCACAGGATTTACTTTACCAAAAGTGTAAACAACTCGTGTCTATATTTGACCCATTTTTGTCTACCCTGCATTCCTAAAAACACACCGAGTGCGGCTGTAAGCAATGCTGACACACTGTTGAAAACTGCTGAATTTCATCATTACAGATAGATTTAAAATGACTACCACGCAGTAAACAAAACAAAGTTTCTTACCTCCTCTGGGTAGAAATACTGCAGGTGATGTAACGGGAAGACCGACTCAAACCCTTCCCTAAAAGACTCAAATTGTCTGGACACTCCTTCATTTAGAGTCCAGTACACCACCAACTACAGGGACAAAGCAAAACATTAAGAACAGTGGGGACGGGGGGAGGATTGATAAAAGCGTGGGTTGTTAGAAAAACTCAAATACCCTGAGGTACTCCTCCAGGTTGTAGATTGTGACTGGGACGTCTTTGCCGCCCTTTTTCAGCTCAATATTTGGGAATCCTGGAAGGGTGAAGTCCAAACCCAGGTCCTCCACTGAGCAGCCATTCATGTTCAGGCTCTCGAGAGCCTGCTGTAGCGTCTCCCTCGTCTGATGGAAACAAACGAGGACAAATGGCATGTGACAAATAAAGAACCTTGAACCTTGAACCAAACAGGTTAGCAGAGAAAAGTGAGGGAGAACTGCTCTGGGTATAAAGTATGATCTAAAGGTAAGAGACACCAAAATATGTACAAAGAAGGGGGAGCACTACCAACAGCAGTATCTCTAAGTAAGTTTAGAGGCATTGTTCCACAGAACAATACTCTGGGCTAATTTCATTAAACACAAGCTCTCTGCGCTCTACCTGTGATCGGTCTTGCTCCAGCCTCTTCTTTTGGCGGATAATATCCTCCAAGTGTTGGATTGACTTGGCAACACCGGGATCAATGTTCACCAGGTCGTGGGAGCTTATAGACATCTCATGCCGTAGCATCCACTTATAAAATGGCAGCCCCAAGGGCAGATCCAGCTAAAGACGAGGAGGAGGACAGGATCAGGTCAGAAAGTTTGTTTTAACATGTAAATGTTTACAGCCTCCGCATGCTAAACGGTGTGCAAGAGATGAAAATGGAGGCCGTTACCAGTCTGAAGTCCATTATGGCTTTAGCCATTAGCTTTCCTAAGAAACGGAACTTCATTTTGATTTTGGCTATGTGCGCTGGTTTGGTCGTCCTGCCGAAGGGAACAGCAAACAGTCCTCTGGAGCTGAACATGTACTTGGTTCCCTCTTGGTTTCCTGCAAAACAAGAAGGCGGTCACTGAAAGTTAATACAAGATACTGTAACATTAAATATGAATAAAAATGCATTTCTCGCTTCCAGTCATATCTTCTTGGGAAAACTGATCAATTAAAATCAGTGGCCCCTAAATAACGACATCCTTCAAAAACCAAACTTAAGCACTTTCATTAACGCCTGACTAATGAGATGAAGACTACCTCGATAATGAGTTTTGTATTAACAGACTCGCGTCATTTAACAACACTTTTCATCATTTCCCGCACGTCTGTTCACAGTTGCAGGATATAAGCTGGTACCTTTGGGATTGGCCAGAGTAACCTCTTCGCCTCTCCAAAGACCAAGATCGGCGCGCTGAAGCTCCTGAGACACCAGAGCGTAGAACTCCTGAGTGGGACCGAGACCTGTGCCCACCTGAAAAGGAGAGGGAAAACAAAGTCCAAACTTTCCTCCTATTTTCTTTCAGAGTTTGAGTATTCAGATACGAGAAACTTAAATACCTCATTCTCATACTGAATCTCAAGCATTGCCCTGGAGCTGCCGAGATCCTGCATCACAGACTCTGCCTGTTTTAGGAGCTCGTCGCGGTTTATCGTCCTCTGAAAACACAGCATAACAGAGGGAATCACGTGATCACATTTAGCAGGTCACACGACACAAGATGTGGATTCCAAGGTAGAAAAAGTACAGCACAATGCTTCGAAGTAACACACTGCACCTTTTTCCTGTCCAGACGTGGTGCAACTCTGCTGTCCTGAGAATCTGACTGGTTGATCTCAGGGTTTGTGTCCAACAAGCGCTGCATTGCTCTGTCACGGTCAAAGGCGGTTACATAGAATAACATCTGCCGAGTGTCAAAGGGGAAGAAGAAGGGGCTGCAGAGGAAAAGAGAGAGAAAAGTGTGTTACTACAGCCAGGCAACAACCCCAACAAATGTAATCTTGGCGTTGCAAAACAGATCACAGACTATTCTTGTGAAACTTACCAGGACTTCCCAAGCTCAATGAGCCACGTGGGGATGTTCCCAGTCATGATGACCAGAGGGTCTTGCAGCTGACGATTGGCTTTGGCTGTCAGTTTACTGTTAATGAACTCATTGGTAGAGATAATTTCCTTACACGCAGCGTTCTGTACAACAAAATAAAATATTAAAGTCAATGTTACTGGAATATTTTATGTCCCAACACAATGAACAATCCTAATTGTGTAAAGGCCTGTGAAAACATTTTCTTAAGGACGATATTTGGTGTTCAAAACTCTATCAGAAACAAACACACACTAAGTTCCTCACTGTCAGAATCCTGTCCAAAGGAGACTTACATCATACAGGTAGAACCAGTATCTACTGATGGAGTGCAGGACCCTCAGCAGCAGGATGACCTCTAAAGAAGGGTCATCAAAAGTTATGGTCTCTGGTGGCTCCGAAGTGAGGTATGTCTCTAAGGGATTGATGACGCTGGGACATACACCATCTGGAAGCAATGGGAATAGTTTTAATCAAAACATACACATTTAGATTCAGTAGAAACTGAACAATAAGACCACAGATCCGCTCACTTGCTTTTTGATTTCACAGTTAAACTTTGCAAGGGTGACATCAAATGTCAGATGTACAAGTGTGTGGCCTGTAGAGCAGGGCGATATGGCCAAAA